AATGATTGCTTAAACTCAGGAGTTCAAGACCAGCCTGAGCAACATAGTAAGATCTTGTTTTTACAAAAATTGTTTTTTTTAATTAGGAAGGCATGGTGGTACACGCCTGTAATCCCAGATACTCAGGAGGCTGATGTGGGATGATCACCTGAGTCCAGGAGTTCAAGACAGCAGTGAGCTATGATTGCCACCACTGTACTCCAGCTTGGGCGTCAGAGCAAGAATGTCTAAAAAAAATTCTTACTATGTATGATAGCACATGCCAGGCTATTTTATAAGCAACTTGAAGGCATTGTATTTATCTTACAGATATTCTTAATAAGTATGTTGAAAGAATGGATAAAATTTTCACAATTTGGTTGATTATTCCATGTACGTACTTTTATTCAGTAACACTTTTGCACTAAAATGGTACAGTCTGCTAACATGTTGACTGCAAATAATTTTTTTTTTTTGAGTAGGGATCTCACTCTGTCGCCCAGTCTGGAGTGCAGTGGTACAATCACAGCTCACTGCAGCATCAACCTCCTGGAGTCAAGGAATTCTCCTATCTCAGCCCCAACAAGTAGCTGGGACCACAGGTGTGCATCACCATGCCCAGCTAGCTTTTTAACTTTTTTGTGAAGACAGGGTGGTCTTGAACTCCTGGATTCAAGTATCTTCCTGCCTTGACCTCCCAAAGTGCTGGGATTATAGGCATGAGCCACCATGCCTAGTGGCAAATAATATTTATAGTCCAGATGTTACACTAAATTCTAGCTTCATTGTCTAGCTTTGTATGATGACACAGTACTGTGGGGCATTTTATAGTTGAGGAGAGAGGCACATTGGATGATCAGGAACACTAAAGTAATCTCCAACTTATAACGCTGTTCCCCAAAGTTCAGTATTGTTTGAAAACTTGCACCTTTTATTTCCTTGAGGACTCTGAGAAGAATGGTTGTGGTTAATACTCCCAGTATCCTGTTCTCAGTAGGTCCTCAAGAAAGTTGAATGAATAAGCTGGTTGTGCTTGTGATTTATCTTCTGAGAACTTCACTGCTATTATTTATCATGAAATGTGGGTGATCCTTGCTCAGTTTAACTGCCTGTGCTGGAGAATATATTCAGAATATATTTAAAATACTGGCAAACTGATTGCAACAGCACATCAAAAAGCTTATCCACCATGATCAAGTAGGATTCATCCCGGGGATGCAAGGCTGGTTCAACATACGCAAGTCCATAAATGTAATTCACCACATAATCAGAACCAAAAACAAAAACCACATGATTATCTCAATTGATGCAGAGAATGCCTTTAATAAAATTCAACAGCACTTTATGCTAAAAAACCCTCAATAAACTAGGTATTGATGGAACGGATCTCAAAATAATAAAAGCTGTTTACGACAAACCAACAGACAGTCTCATACTCAATGGGTGAAAACTGGAAGTATTCCCTTTGAAATCTGGCACTAGACAAGGATGCCCTCTCTCACCACTACTATTCAATATAGTATTGGAAGTTCTAGCCAGAGCAATCAGGCAAAAAAAAGAAATAAAAGGTATTCAATTGGAGGAAGTCAGATTGTCTCTGTTTGCAGACGACATGATTGTATATCTAGAAGACCTCATTGTCTCAGCCCAAAATCTCCTCAAACTGATAAGCAACTTCAGCAAAGTCTCAGGATACAAAATCAGTGTGCAAAAATCACAAGCATTTATATACACCAATAACAGACTGAAAGAGAGCCAAATCAAGAACGAACTGCCATTCACAATTGCTAGAAAGAGAATAAAATACCTAGGAATACAACAAGGAACATAAAGGACCTCTTCAAGGAGAACTACAAACCACTGCTCAACAAAATAAGAGAGGACACAAACAGATGGAGAAACATTCCATGTTCATGGTTTGGAAGAATCAATATCATGAAAATGGCCATGGTGCCCAAAGTAATTTACAGATTCAACACTATCTCCATCAAGCTACCAATGATGTTCTTCACAGAACTGGAAAAAAACCACCTTAAACTTCATATGGAACCAAAAGAGAGCCCACATAGCCAAGTCAATTCTAAGCAAAAAGAACAAAGCAGGAGGCATCCCACTACTGGACTTCAAACTATACTACAAGGCTACAGTAATCAAAACAGCATGGTACTGGTACAAAAACAGAGATGTAGACCAATAGAACAGAACAGAGGTCTTGGAGGCAACACAACACATCTATAACCATTCGATCTTTGGCAAACCTGACAAAAACAAGCAATGGGGAAAGGATTCCCTGTTTAATAAATGGTGTTGGGAAAACTGGCTAGCCATGTGCAGAAAGCAGAAACTGGACCCCTTCCTGACACCTTACACTAAAATTAACTCCAGATGGATTAAAGACTTAAACATAAGACCTAACACCATAAAAACCCTAGAAGAAAATCTAGGCAAAACCATTCAGGACATAGGCATAGGCGAGGACTTCATGACCAAAACACCGAAAGCATTGGCAACAAAAGCCAAAATAGACAAATGGGACCTAATCAAACTCCACAGCTTCTGCATGGCAAAAGAAACAGTCATTAGAGTGAATCGGCAACCAACAGGATGGGAAAAACATTTTGCAGTCTACACAACTGATAAAGGGCTGACAACAAGAATCTACAAAGAACTAAAACAGATTTACAAGAAAAAAACAAGCCCATTCAAAAGTGGGCAAAGGATTATGAACAGACGCTTTACAAAAGAAGACATACATGAGACCAACAAACATGAAAACATGCTCATCATCACTGGTCATTAGAGAAATGCAACTCAAAACTACATTGAGATACCATCTCACACCAGCTGGAATGGCAATCATTAAAAAGTCTAGAGACAACAGATGCTGGAGAGGATGTGGAGAAATAGGAACACTTCTACACTGCTGGTGGGAGTGTAAATTAGTCCAACCATTGCAGAAGACAATGTGGCGATTCCTCAAGGACCTAGAAATAGAAATTCCATTTGACCCAGCAATCCCATTACTGGGTATATATCCAAAGGATTATAAATCCTTCTACTATAAGGACACATGCACACAAATGTTCATTGCATCACAGTTTACAATAGCAAAGACCTGGAACCAACCCAAATACCTATCAATGATAGACTGGACAGGGAAATGTGACACATATACACCATGGAATATTATGCAGCCATCAAAAATGATGAGTTTGTGTCCTTTGTAGGGACGTGGATGAACCTAGAAACCATCATTCTCAGCAAACTGACACAAGGACAGAAAATGAAATACCCCATGTTTTCATAGGTGGGTGTTGAACAGTGAGAACACATGGACACTGGGAGGGGGGCATCACACACTGGGGTCTGTTGGGGGGAAATGGGAGGGACAGCAGGGGCTGGGGAGTTGGGGAGAGATAGCATGGGGAGAAATGCCAGATACAGGGGAAGGGGAGGAAGGCAGCAAATCACACTGCCATGTGTGTACCTATGCAACAATCTTGCATGTTCTTCACATGTACCCCAAAACCTAAAATGCAATTAAAAAAAGAATATATTGCCAGGCACGGTGACTTATGCCTGTAATCCCAGCATTTTGGGAGGCTGAGGCCAGTGGATCATTTGAGGTCAGGAGTTTGAGACCAGCCTGGCCAACATGGTGAAACCCTGTCTCTACGAAAGGTACAAAAATTAGCCAGATATGGTGGTGGGCGCCTGTAATCCCAGCTAGTTGGAAGTCTGAGGCAGGAGAAGCTCTTGTATCTGGGTGGCAGAGAGAGGTTACAGTGAGCCGAGATCACACCACTGTACTCCAGCCTCGGCAACAAGGCAAGACTCCATCTCAAAAAAAAAAAAAAAAACATATTAAGTGGTAAGATGACAGGTGCCTTCCATTAGATAGTTTAATACACCAGTGACTTTCTCTCATATTTTTCCTATGTAGCAAATGAGAAAACTGTGGCTCAGGAGCATAAACTATTTGAACACAGCTAGTAAAAAGCAGAGGTAGAGCCCTGATTGAGAAAGAGAAATCATTCTCGATGCATAGACTCCTGACAGGTTATTTATTACTGAATTATTCTGCATATCACCTTTTTTTTTTTTTTTTTTTAAGACAGAGTCTTGTTCTGTTGTCCAGGCTGGAGAACAATGGTGTGATCTTGGCTCACTGCAACCTCCGCCTCCTGGGTTCAAGGGATTCTCCTGCCTCAGTCTCCTAAGTACCTAGGTGCCTGCCACCACACCCAGCTAATTTTTGTGTTTTTAGTAGAGACAGGGTTTCACCATGTTGACCAGGCTGGTCTTGAACTCCAGACCTCAGGTGATCCACCCGCCTCAGCCTCCCAGAGTGCTAGAATTAGAGGTGTGAGCCACCGTGCCCAGCTGCATATCACTTTCTTATCGGATACTCCATAGGTAGTCTGGTTACCAAGAAAGAGTCATGGTGTTCAAGTTTTTTTGAAAAAAATACTTGTCATGCGTGGACACCAAACCATTCTTTTCAGCAGATTATTGGAGTGATATATATAATAATGTGGTATGCACTGGGGATATAGCTGTGAGTAAGACATGCTTGATCCATGCCCTCAAGGACCTTCAGTCTAGCCATCTAGTTCAGCAGTTGGCAGACGTTTTCTGTAAAGGACCGGACAGTTAATGTTTTAGGGTTTGTAGGCCCTATGGTCTTGGTTGCAAATACTGAATTCTGCCATTGTGGTGCAAAAGTAGCCACAGACACTATGTAAATAAGTGAGTGTGGCTATGTTCCAATAAAACTTCCTTACAAAAACAGTCAGTGGACCGATCTGGCCTGCAGGTTGTAATTTGCCGACTCTTGGTCTGGTTCATTTGTTTCTTGGTCTCTGTCTCTCTTTCTTGCTCTTATATTCACAGCAGCAGTTTTCATAAAGAGTCCCATTGATTGATTCGTTACAGTTATATAAGGTAAGATAGTGGAAAAACTGAATCTTGTACTTCTGATAAAAGCTAGCTCTTGTATTTTCTTTTGCTCTTTTATCCAGGACATTTTATTTCCTTACATCGAAAAAAATGTTAAAGAGTATCTGCAGACACATTGGGAAGAAGAGGAGTGCCAGCAGGATGTCAGTCTTTTGAGGAAACAGGTTGGGACATTTCTATCTTACATTCCCAAGTGTCTTAGAAATGAGGGTACCTGGAGATGTAGAATATGCTCTGAGCATATTGTAAACAAGTGCCCTGGTTTGATAGGGGATGGAGGCTGCGGTGACTTAGTGAGTTGCCTGCTTAGGAATTGACAGTACAATTAAAGGCTGGATCATGTTTGTTGTTTCTAGAGCTGCTCTTTTTTTTTTTTTTTGAGATGGAGTCTCACTTTGTCGCCCAGGCCGGAGTGTGGTAGTGTGGTCTTACCTCACTGCAACCTCTGCTTCCCAGGTTCACAAGATTCTCCTGCCTCAGCTTCCTGAGTAGCTGGGACTACAGGTGCCCACCACCATGCTCAGCTAATTTTTTGTATTTTTAGTAGAGATTGGGTTTCACCATATTGGACAGGTTGGTCTAGAACGCCTGACCTCAAGTGATCCACCCTCCTCAGCCTTCCAAAGTGCTGGGATTACACCATGCCCAGCACACCCAGAAAGGACTTAAGTTTGCAAATACATGATATTTTTATGCAGTTTAAATAGCTCTAGAAAAAAGTAACTCTAGGCCGGGCACGGTGGTTCACTCCTGTAATCCCAGCACTTTGGGAGGCCAAGGTGGGTGGATCACTCAAGGTCAGGAGTTCAAGGCCAGCCTGGCCAAAATGGTGAAACCCTGCCTCTACTAAAAATACAAAAAATTAGCTGGACGTGGTGGTGGGCACCTGTATCCCAGCTCCTTAGGAGGCTGAGGCAGAATTGCTTGAACCTGGGAGGTGAAGGTTGTAGTGAGCCTTGGTGGCCACTGCACTCCAGCCTGGACTACAGAGCAAGACTCTGTCTCAAAGAAAAAAGTCTGTTCTAGGTAGAGTGCAAATGGTTTTGAGCCGTCTCTATATTTTTCATTAATATCTCTGTATTAGTCTGTTTTCACGTTGCTGTAAAGAAATACCTGAGACAGGGTAATTTTTAACAAAAGAGGTTTAATTGGCTCACAAGTCTATATGCTATACAGAAAACACATCAGCATCTGCTTCTGGGGAGGCCTAAGGAAGCTTCCAATCATGATGGAAGGCATAGGGGGAGCAGGTGTATCATGTTGTCAAAGTCAGGAATAAGAGAGTGAGCGGGGGAGGCGCTACACACTTTAAAACAACCAGAACTCATTATCTCGAGGACAGCATCAAGGGGGATGGTACTAAATAAACCATTCACGAGAAATCCACCCCCCCATCCCCACCCCCACCCCCGTGATCAGTCACGTCACACTAGGCCTCACCTCCAACACTGAAGATTACATTTCAATGTGCAGTTTGGGTGGGGACACATCCAAGCTGTGTCATTCTCCAAATGACAATACCTCATCATTTTGCACTCCCTCCTGCCTCACTGCAAGCCCCTGCTACCCCTTCTACAGTGCTCCCCACACCTACATTCCCCCTCCAGACTCCTCACCCCGGCTCACTCTGGCCCAGCCCTCATACCTGCTTTGGTCTCCTGTGCCTTGTTCTGCTCTCTTCTCCCAAGTCATTAGGCCGTCTTTTCCTTCCACATTGTGTGCTATAGAACTCTTGCTCTGTTGTTTTTCTTTAAAATTGCTTCGGTGGCAAAGATCTTACATGGTCTACAGAGCTAACTCACTGGCAGTTAGTTTCTATATTGAATACTGTGGAACGCTCTCTGTAGATGTTTTACTGTTAGGAATTAGGATTGGAAATATAGTTATGTCCTTTGGGCATGGAATATTTGGGTTTGTTGAATTTTCTGGATAACTCAGTGTTAATCTGAAATACAGTAAGTCTTTCCATAATGTTTTTAGGTTCTTGGAAACTGACTTTAAGTGAAATGACACTTAAATTTCAATATTCAATTTTAAACCAACTATAACAAAACCAATTTTTTTTTCACATAAATGTTATAACAAAATGATGTTGAAGGAAATGACATTATTTGAAAAGGTCATGTCACTTGAAGTCACAGGTTCCAAGACCCTATGATGATGTTAAATGAGGACTTACTGTACTGTCCCTCCTTACCTTTTTTTTGTTGTTGAAACACACATAGATAGTCCCCCATTATTGTGTGTGTGTGTGTGTGTATATGTATCTTTAGAAATTGGATTCCATTGTCACAAAGTCATTGTTCTAAATTGCTATTAGGATTTTTGCAAGATATGAGGGTTTACAGGAGACTGAATGTGAACCAACCTTATTACTTCACTAGCTTCTTTTCACTGAATCCCAGGCATAAACTAATTTATGAGATTTTCCTTGTTTCTTTCTCAGTTAGTTAAAATGCAGAGAAAATGATCAGATTGAGTTAAAGTTCTGGTTTGTTGATCCCAGTAGTGAATCAACAAATGAAGTCTTATTCTATCGTTCTGTGCTCTCTCCTCTCACATACAACATGGCTCTCAGTTTACATTTCAGCTTTTAGCACAAGGAAAGGCGATGTAAATTTATTAATCCAGGTTTTTTTAGGAATCATTTTTATCAGTTCCAAAGTATATGATGTTTCCATTTGCAGCCATACTAGGGCTAATGATGGAGAAAGTTGTTCTGCTGGGGTTTTGGGTCTTGTTTTAAATGATCCTTTTTTGAATAAGCAAAAAACAAACATCATGTTGTTTCTGACTTAAAGGCTGAAGAGGACGCCCACCTGGATGGGGCCGTTCCTATCCCTGCAGCATCTGGGAGTGGAGTGGATGATCTGCAACAGATGATCCAGGCCGTGGTAGATAATGTGTGCTGGCAGATGTCCCTGGATCGAAAGACCACTGCACTCAAACAGCTGCAGGGCCACATGTGGAGGACGGCATTCACAGCTGGGCTCATGAAAGCAGAGTATGTGTGCAAGTCAGCCTAAACGTTTCACCAGTCCCAAATCCAAACATGTTTTTCACTAGTCCTCTCTTCCCAGTGTAAGTCACATGATTTGTAAAATAGATAAAAATCCACATTCTTTTTAGGCTAACAAGTGAGTTTTGTTTCATTTTTAAAAACTGGGCTAAAACATTTCAGCTGACTAGATTACCCGTACCTGCCTGTCTGGTCTTTTTTAGTCTCCATTTAAAACAGCTTCCTAGAAAATGGTGACTTTCTTGAACTAATTCATATTTGATTCTTAGTACACAAGTGACAGCTCTGTTGGGTTGCTTCCCTGGACTGTTAGTTACCTGCTTTTTGCTCTGTGAGACAGGAAATTTTGTGCCCTATGAGTAACGTTGAGGTTACTCAGAGGATGTCTGCACTATCATGTTCTTCTTTGCTTTTTTGAGTAACTTTGACAGATTCTTTGAGTCTTGGTTATGGAGTTCCTGACAGCAATCTGACTGAGGAGACTTTTGAGTATTATACTACTGATAAAGTCTTGATTGATTCACACAGGGTCCCACTCTCTTACCCAGGCTGGAGTGCAGTGACATGATCATGGCTCACTGCAGCCTTGACCTCCCCTAGCTCAGGTGATCCTCCCACTTCCGCCTCCCTAGTAGCTGAGACTAGGCATGTGCCACCACGCCTAGCTAATTTTTGTATTTTTGTAGAGATGGGGTTTTACCATGTTGCCCAGGCTGGTCTCAAACTTTGGGGCTTTAGTGATCTGTCTGCCTTGGCCTCCCAAAGTGCTGGGGTTACAGTCATGAGCCACCATACCTGGCCTAGTTTATTTTTTTAGGAGCTGGGGTTTTGCTCTGTGATCCACACTGGAGTACAGTGGTGCCATCATAGTTCACTGTAGCCTTGAACTCCTGGACTTGAAGTGATCCTCCCACCTCAGCCTACTGATCAACTGGGACTACAGGCAATACCCACCATACCTGGCTAAACAACTTTTTTGTAGAGGTGTGGTCTTGCTATGTTGTCCATACCATATAGCTGAGAAATTCTGTTTTTTTGGTTTTGATTATGCTTTGAGACAGTCTTGCTCTATCACCCGGGCTAGAGTGCAGTGGCACAATCTCAGCTCACTGCAACCTCTGCCTCCTGGGTTTAAGTGATTCTTCTGTCTCAGCATCCAGAGTAGTTGGGATTACAGGGTGCATGCTACCATGCCCGGATAATTTTTGTATTTTTAGTAGAGATGGGGTTTATTGATGAGGCTGGTCTTGAACTCCTGACCTCAAGTGGTCCACCTGCCTCAGCTTCCCAAAGTGCTAGGATTACAGGCATGAGCCACCACTCCCAGCCTATTTTTGTTTTTGGTGACATAGTCTCACTCTGTTGTCCAGGATGGAGTGCATTGCTGCAATCTTAGCTCACTGCAACTTCCGCTTCCCGGGTTCAAGCAATTCTTGTACCTCAGCTTCCTGAGCAGCTGGGAGTACAGGTGCATGCCACCCCACCTGGCTAATTTTTTGTATTTTAGTAGAGACAGGGTTCACCATGTTGCCCAGGGTGGTCTCGAGCTCCTGAGCTCAGGGCAGTCCACCTGCCTTGGCCTCCCAACGTGCTAGGATTACAGGCATGAGCCACCATGCCCAGCCTGCTGAGAAATTCTAATAAGACTTTGCCTCTAAGGATTTTAGGCCACTGCCTGTTACAAACCCTAAGATCCAAGAGTGTTTCCAGCTGCCTATATTTCTTTTATATTTCTGTCAAATGAGATGTCATCTTTACGTATTTTACAAGGAGCTTCTACCTTTTAAAGGATGGACTGGAATTGCAGGATATGCCAGTGATCTGGGAATATTAGCCAGGTTCACTTTGTACAGCACTCAAAAAAGTGGAGACAGGAGACTGTGCACCCAGTAGTTAGCCCTCACTTCTCTTGGTCTTGGCCTTTATTATACAACTAACTGCTGAAGACAGGAAAAATCCCGTCTCTATGAATGCAAACTAGTACTTGGAATAATGTATTTATAATGTGTGCACTGGTTTTGAATACATTGATCTCTTTCCTTCAATTAGTGCATCATATTAAGCATGTTAATACATATAAAGCAGAAGACTCCTCTGACATTTTCCAGGTAATCTTTTAAAGATGACTGCTTCTACAACCCAGGTTCCTTGTGCTTATGTTTTCATCTTTTTCCTGTGATGTTAATTTCCTCCATGAATATGGAAGACACTGTAGAATTGGTAAAAGAGACAGAGTGTCAGGGGTCAGAAAAAGACACCTTTTGCTGACTGATTAATGTGAGATGGTACAAGTCTCTCAACTGATTTGTTATGTACTTTTTTCCTCATATAGTAAAATGTTGTTTTCTTAGTTCTCAAGAAATGCAGGCCAAGTGCAGTGGCTCACGCCTGTAATCCCAGCAGTTTGAGAGGCTGAAGCGGGTGGATCACTTGAGTCCAGCAGTTTGAGACCAGCCTGGGCGACATGACAAAACCCATCTCTACAAAAGATTTTAAAAAATTAGCTGGGCGTGATAGTGCATGGCTGTAGTCCCAGCTACCCAGGAGGCCAAGGTGGCAGAATCACTCAAGCCCAGGAGGTGGAGGTCGCAAACAGCTGAGATCACACCACAGCACTCCAGCCTAGGCAAGAGAGCAAGACCCTGTCGCAGGGAAAAAAAAAAAGTAATTCCATTTTCTAGCTGATCATAAGTTTATAGCTTTGAGCCTTCAGACTTTGTTTTGATTGTTTTGGGCGCAGATCTTTTTAAAAGCATTTCCATGCTTTCTTAAAGCACAGTGGACATGAGTTAACCTTTTCTTGTCATGAAGAACATCAAAGATTATATTGCATTATTGCTGTTTGCTTTTTTCTGTTCCTTGGGAATTTAAAAAACACTTTCCCATTTCATCCTTTTATCTATAATCCCTTTTTACTGTCACTAGTGGCTGTTCAAAACTATCCTTTTTTCCACATAGACGGTTGCTTCTAATCTGCTGTGAGCCTGGGACTCTAGCAGCACATTTATTAGAACTGCAGGAGTTTGTAGTCTCAGGGAGCTGCTTCTCAGGTACCATTTGAGCACAAATAGAGAATCATATGGCATCTATTTTGACAGGTTTTCATCTGGCTAGATGAGGTGTTCCTGTATTTTAACTTGGTGTCTTCCCTCTAGGTTCTTTGCAGATGTAGTTCCAGCAGTCAGGAAATGGAGAGAGGCTGGAATGAAAGTGTACGTCTATTCTTCAGGGAGTGTGGAGGCACAGAAACTATTGTTTGGGCATTCTACAGAGGGGGATATTCTTGAGGTAGGTTACTTAGTTTACTTGGTTTTTTGATGTGATCAAAGCATGAAATAATGACTGTTAAAGGAAAACTAATGGAAACTAATGGAATACTTTTTTGGGGGTTGTTTAAAATTAGGTGAGAATAAAATAATTATTTTTAATTATACTGCATTTACAGTTTCTTCTATATAAGGTTGTTATATAAAGTTTATGCTGTGTTTTGAAAGATAAAATCGGTTAGGATGCAAAATAGGATTGTGCACACTCCTGAGAAATATATAAAGACTTTTTGAATATAGCAGAGGACAAGGTCCACTCATTTGTTTCTGGCTCTTTGAAGAGATACAGATTTTATTTTCAGAAGAAACAGCATTATTATAGGAGAACGAGGCACATTTTAAAATTTAGTGATAAGGTCACCTGTTACATTTCATGGACGTGAGAAAATTCTTAAAGCCTCTGTGTCGGCATCCCTGTGCCCCCCCGGAGGATGGGGTGATCAATGAAAGAAGCCGACTACATTTAGGGTTTTAAAAAGAAGTGCTGATTAGCTGAATATAGACCAGACTTCCAATAGGTAACTTGGAATATAAACCGGACCTACAGATTACTTACAATAGATAACTTGGCCAGATACTTTTTTAAAATAAATATTTATTTTAACTTATAATAGGTAACTTAAATATAGACTGAACTTAACAATAGATTACTTACAATAGGTAACTTGGCCAGATAGTCTTAAAATAAATATTTATTGAGCCCCTACCATGTGCAAAGAACACTTTAGCTTTGGTGGTTGTTGTATTCTAATTTTAGTATTTTCCTACTTTCTCTCTTATTTTTAAATCAAATGTTAAATAATGAATCCCTTAAATCCTTGGTGACTGTTCTTTTAATACAGAGACAACTTTTCTCAAAATCATGACAAGACAAAAGCACCTACTGAGTTCACTAATAAAAATTTTACTCTCTAGTTACCCACTGAGGCAAACTGAGAGGAAAAGAAAATATGCAAAATCAATCTTAACTTAAAAAAAAAAGCAACCTTAAAATTACTTTGTCTTTTTTTTTTGAGACAGAGTTTTGCTCTTGTTACCCAGGCTGGAGTGCAATGGCACGGTCTCGGCTCACCGCAACGTCCGCCTCCTGGGTTCAGGCAATTCTCCCGCCTCAGCCTCCTGAGTAGCTGGGATTACAGGCACGCGCCACCGTGCCCAGCTAATTTTTTGTATTTTTATTAGAGATGGGGTTTCACCATGTTGACCAGGATGGTCACGATCTCTTGACCTCGTGATCCACCTGCCTTGGCCTCCCAAAGTGCTGGGATTACAGGCTTGAGCCACCGTGCCCGGCCTCCGTCTTTTTTTTTTTAGCTTCCCATTGGCCAACCCCAGTTTGTCTCTGAGTGCTTACTATGCTTGTTTTTAAGTTTGTGAAAAGATCACATCTTAGTAACCGACCCTAATTACTGTTGCTTAAATTAGCAAGTTACAAATTTGACTCCAGGTGTCTCCAAGAGGGCAGATGTAGGGGGGAGATCCCATAAGCACCGAGGCAGGAGCAAAAGGCCTCAGCCTATTTCCATGTAAATAATGAAGAAGAAAGTGACTAGAAATATAACCATAGTAGTTATTAGTTATTCATAGGAAATCTTAATTCTTTTAGTAATGCCTCTCAGGTCAGAAGTGTGAACCTGGGGTGACATTGTGAAATGAATGACGCTAAAGCAAGATGCCCTAGGCCCTCTGTCATGCCCACATAAGGGTTACTGGAGGGCACCTCAGCTGTGCGGCAGCACCCACACTGTGAAAGCGCCTGCTGATTAGCCAGCTAGGGAAGGAGACGTCCAAGATGACTGAGATGTCTCCTCCAGAGGAGGAGTTAGGAGAAAGCTCCACTTCTCCAAGCTCTTGTGGTAAGGCCTGATGGCTGTCAGGCAGAGACCCGCAAACATCCATGGTCTTAACTGTCTCTATGTGATGCTGTGCATCAGCCGTCACGTTCCATGTCTACTCTCATGTCCTGCTTCTGCACCTGGTTCCTTTTTTCTTAAAAAAGATAATCAGTAGTAGTAATATAAATCTTAATGTTTTAGTTCTTTCTTAATAAGTATGGAAAAAGTGCTGATGCATTATGCTCCTTACCTCACTTCGGGTGTCAAAAATTCCTAAGCCCCTACCTAAATAACACGTGATGTACTTAACCCTATCACTGCCACACCCTATCTACCCTGCCCCCAGTTTCCAAACACCAAGACCATGCCCTATCTACCCTTTCCCCAAATTTGCAACTCAATAAAAGTAAAAGCATCCCAGAATTCAGGGCCACTGCTGGTCTCTGCAATTTGGGTGGCAGTGGACCCCCAGGCCCCAGACTTTCTTTTCTTGATCTCTATGTCTTACGCCTTTTATTTCTACAATTTCTGGTCTCCGCACCAGCAGGGAGGGGATCACAAAACCCTGTAGGGCTGGGCCCTACAGGCAGAGATGTAGACGAGCCCTTGGATAGAATTTCAAATGGTTTAATTAGAAAATGAAAATTTCTTGTAAGTAAAATAGTAGCTTACTCCTGAAGGAGGTTAGAGAAATTTTTTCGTCATAAGATTAAAGGGCAGTGTTCAGAATCTTTCATCAGGAGTAAAATTCAATCCAATAAGTAGTTCGAGTACAAATGATGTTTTAAGGGTAGGATGTAGGGCATGTTTATTTTAAATTGTTTCAGATGTAAAATGAATGCTAGTGAAAACCAGGTAGCTTATAAAATGATCTTATGTATATTGAGCTGGTAGTTTTCTTTTTCCAAATGTTTGTTGCTATAAAATCTTTATTTTCACTTTTTGTAGCCTTCATAAAGTTCCCTATTAAGTAGATTTTCAGTAAACACTGAGCAAATGAAGTCACTGTGATTATTGTGTATTCAGAGAAAATGCATGAGGGGCACTGCAAGAGAGTATTTTTATTGCCAGTCTTTCCCCTTCTCTTTGTTCAGCTTGTCGATGGTCACTTTGATACCAAGATTGGACGCAAAGTGGAGAGTGAAAGTTATAGAAAGATTGCAGACAGCATTGGGTGCTCAACCAACAACATTTTGTTTCTGACAGATGTTACTCGAGGTGAGTAATAGATTTCTAACATTATATATTCCAGGATATGAACTGAACCTGCCACTACAAACACATTGCCTCTTTAAAGAAAGTTTATGTGGGGATCCTTGAAAAATATAATAATTTTACATAAAGAAACAGTTTCTGGTTCAAGTTTGTGTTTGAATTAAAAAAAAAAAAACAGTGAAGCCAGGCATGGTGGCTCATGCCTGTAATCCTAGTGCTTTCGTGGGCTCAGGCAGGAGGATTGCTTGAACCCAGGAGCTTGAGACTAACCTGGGCAACAATGTAAGACCACTGTCTCTACAAAAAATTCAAAAAGTTAACTGGGTGAGGTGGCTCACTCCTGTGGTCCTGGCTGCTTGAGAGGCTGAGGCAGGAGGATCAGTTGAGTCTGGGAAGTCAAGGCTGCAGTGAGCTGTGTTTGCACCATTGCACTCCAGCCTGGATGACAGCACAAGACTGTCTTAAAAAAGAATAAACCAACTGGCCCACCTCCCACTCTGGGAGTTGTGTATGGGGAAGTAGCATTGAAAAGACTAACCCTTGTCATTTAGTTCCTTATCCATGATTTCCCACCTGTCGCTATATACACACACATACACACTATGACACAGGAAATTAACAAAGGAAGACTTAAAGGTGTCATCATGGGAAGGAGCATGCAGGCAGGGGTATGAGGATAAGGGGTGGTTAGTTGACAGTAGAGTCACTGTAGATCTGCATTAAATGCAGCTAACAGTAGTGAGGTCAGTTATATATACACAGCCAAAAGAGAGAGAGAGGAAGAGAACTGTAATTAGTTTAAGCAGTTTTGGCCATCGTTCCAATTGATGCACTTCCCCATGATGAGTAGTTGACTCACCCCTGCCTCCCCTCCAGTGGTCTTCATTCCCCCAGGAACCTCTGAGGTTGTGAATCTTCGGCTTGGTTGTACATGATTCACTTTAGAGACATACATATTTTGTACTCAGCATGACTCTCTTTACTATTTACAGTACAGTATCATATATATAGCTTTATGGGTTGATTTCACAAAACAGTGTATACCGTACTTTATTGGTAATATAAATTATTTCAAGAGTAGGTTTTTTTTTTTTTTTTTAATTTTTTATTTGATTATAGGTTTTGGGGTACATGAGCAGAGCATGCGAGACAGTTGCGTAGGTACACACATGGCAGTGTGCTTTGCTTTTCTTCTCCCCTTCACCCACATTTGGCATTTCTCCCCAGGCTATCCCTCCCCACCTCCCCCTCCCACTGGCCCTCCCCTTTTCCCCCCAATAGACCCCAGTGTTTAGTACTCCCCTTTCTGTGTCCATGTGTTCTCATTTTTCATCACCCACCTATGAGTGAGAATATGCGGTGTTTCATTTTCTGTTCTTGTGTCAGTTTGCTGAGGATGATGTTCTCCAGATTCATCCATGTCCCTACAAACAACACGAACTCATCATTTCTGATTGCTGCATAATATTCCATGGTGTATATGTGCCACATTTTTCCAATCCAGTCTATTATCAATGGGCATTTGGGTTGATTCCAGGTCTTTGCTATTGTAAACAGTGCTGCAATGAACATTCGTGTACATGTGTCCTTATAGTAGAACGATTTATAGTCTTTTGGATATATACCCAGTAATGGGATTGCTGGGTCAAATGGAATTTCTGTTTCTAAGGCCTTGAGGAATCGCCACACTGTCTTCCACAATGGTTGAACTAATTTACACTCCCACCAACAGTGTAAAAGTGTTCCTTTTTCTCCACATCCTCTCCAGCATCTGTTGTCTCCAGATTTTTTAATGATCGCCATTCTAACTGGCGTGAGATGGTATCTCAATGTGGTTTTGATTTGCATCTCTCTGATGACCAGTGACGATGAGCATTTTTTCATATGATTGTTGGCCTCATATATGTCTTCTTTCGAAAAGTATCTGTTCATATCCTTTGCCCACTTTTGAATGGGCTTGTTTGTTTTTTTCCTGTAAATCTGCTTGAGTTGTTTGTAAATTCTGGATATCAGCCCTTTGTCAGATGGGTAGACTGCGAAAATTTTTTCCCATTCTGTTGGTTGCCGATCCACTCTAGTGACTGTTTCTTTTGCCGTGCAGAAGCTGTGGAGTTTCATTAGGTCCCATTTGTCTATTTTGGCTTTTGTTGCCAATGCTCTTGGTGTTTTGTTCATGAAGTCCTTGCCTACTCCTATGTCCTGGATAGTTTTGCCTAGATTTCCTTCTAGGGTTTTTATGGTGCCAGGTCTTATGTTTAAGTCTTTAATCCATCTGGAGTTAATTTTAGTGTAAGGTGTCAGGAAGGGGTCCAGTTTCTGCTTTCTGCACGTGGCTAGCCAGTTTTCCCAACACCATTTGTTAAACATGGAATCCTTGCCCCATTGCTTGTTTTTGTCAGGTTTATCAAAGATTGTATAGTTGTATGTATGTTGTGTTGCCTCCGGTGCCTCTGTTTTGTTCCATTGGTCTATATCTCTGTTTTGGTACCAGTACCATGCTGTTTTGATTACTGTAGCCTTGTAGTATAGTTTGAAATCCGGTAGTGTGATGCCCCCCGCTGTGTTCTTTTTGCTTAGAATTGACTTGGCTATGCGGGCTCTCTTTTGGTTCCATATGAAGTTCATGGTGGTTTTTTCCAGTTCTGTGAAGAAAGTCAATGGTAGCTTGATGGGGATAGCGTTGATTCTGTAAATTACTTTGGGCAGTATAGCCATTTTCACGATATTAATTCTTCCTAACCATGAACATGGAATGTTTCTCCATCTGTTTGTGTCCTCTCTGATTTCGTTGAGCAGTGGTTTGTAGTTCTCCTTGAAGAGGTCCCTTACGTTCCTTGTGAGTTGTATTCCAAGGTATTTTATTCTTTTTGTAGCAATTGCGAATGGCAGTTCGCTCTTGATTTGGCTTTCTTTAAGTCTGTTATTGGTGTAGACGAATGCTTGTGATTTTTGCACATTGATTTTATATCCTGAGACTTTGCTGAAGTTGTTTATCAGTTTCAGGAGTTTTTGGGCTGAGGCGATGGGGTCTTGTAGGTATACTATCATGTCGTCTGCAAATAGAGACAATTTGGCTTCCACCTTTCCTATTTGAATACCCTTTATTTCTTTTTCTTGCCTGATTGCTCTGGCTAGAACTTCCAGTACTATATTGAATAGGAGTGGTGAGAGAGGGCATCCTTGTCTAGTACCAGATTTCAAAGGGAATGCTTTCAGTTTTTGCCCATTCAGTATGATATTGGCTGTTGGTTTGTCATAAATAGCTTTTATTACTTTGAGATACGTTCCATCGATACCGAGTTTATTGAGGGTTTTTAGCATAAAGGGCTGTTGAATTTTGTCAAATGCCTTCTCTGCATCAATTGAGATAATCATGTGGTTTTTGTTTTTGGTTCTGTTTATGTGGTGAATTACGTTGATAGACTTGCGTATGTTGAACCAGCCTTGCATCCCCGGGATGAATCCTACTTGATCATGATGAATAAGTTTTTTGATTTGCTGTTGCAATTGGCTTGCCAATATTTTATTGAAGATTTTTGCATCTATGTTCATCATGGATATTGGCCTGAAGTTTTCTTTTCTCATTGGGTCTCTGCCGGGTTTTGGTATCAGGATGATGTTGGTCTCATAAAATGATTTGGGAAGTATTCCCTCTTTTTGGATTGTTTGAAATAGTTTTAGAAGGAATGGTACCAGCTCCTCCTTGTGTGTCTGGTAGAATTCGGCTGTGAACCCGTCTGGACCTGAGCTTTTTTTGTGAGGTAGGCTCTTAATTGCTGCCTCGACTTCAGACCTTGTTATTGGTCTATTCATAGTTTCAGCTTCCTCCTGGTTTAGGCTTGGGAGGACACAGGAGTCCAGGAATTTATCCATTTCTTCCAGGTTTACTAGTTTATGCGCATATAGTTGTTTGTAATATTCTCTGATGATGGTTTGAATTTCTGTGGAATCTGTGGTGATTTCCCCTTTATCATTTTTTATTGCATCTATTTGGTTGTTCTCTCTCTTTTTTTTAATCAATCTGGCTAGGGGTCTGTCTATTTTGTTGATCTTTTCAAAAAACCAGCTCTTGGATTTATTGATTTTTTGAAGGGTTTTTCGTGTCTCAATCTCCTTCAGCTCAGCTCTGATCTTAGTAATTTCTTGTCTTCTGCTGGGTTTTGAGTTTTTTTGATCTTGTTCCTCTAGCTCTTTCAATTTTGATGATAGGGTGTCAATTTTGGATCTCTCCATTCTCCTCATATGGGCACTTATTGCTATATACTTTCCTCTAGAGACTGCTTTAAATGTGTCCCAGAGGTTCTGGCACGTTGTGTCTTCGTTCTCATTGGTTTCGAAGAACTTCTTTACTTCTGCCTTCATTTCGTTGTTTACCCAGTCAACATTCAAGAGCCAGTTGTTCAGTTTCCATGAAGCTGTGCGGTTCTGGGTCGGTTTCTGAATTCTGAGTTCTAACTTGATTGCACTATGGTCTGAGAGGCTGTTTGTTATGATTTCAGTTGTTTTGCATTTGTTGAGCAGTGCTTTACTTCCAATTATGTGGTCAATTTTAGAGTAGGTGTGATGTGGTGCTGAGAAGAATGTGTATTCTGTGGATTTGGGGTGGAGAGTTCTGTAAATGTCCACCAGGTTTGCTTGCTCCAGGTCTGAGTTCAAGCCCTGGATATCCTTGTTGATTTTCTGTCTGGTTGATCTGTCTAGTATTGACAGTGGAGTGTTAAAGTCTCCCACTATTATTGTGTGGGAGTCTAAGTCCTTTTGTAAGTCATTAAGAACTTGCCTTATGTATCTGGGTGCTCCTGTGTTGGGTCCATATATGTTTAGGATCGTTAGCTCTTCTTGTTGTATCGATCCTTTTACCATTATGTAATGGCCTTCTTTGTCTCTTTTGATCTTTGTTGCTTTAAAGTCTATTTTATCAGAGATGAGAATTGCAACTCCTGCTTTTTTTTGCTTTCCATTAGCTTGGTAAATCTTCCTCCATCCCTTTATTTTGAGCCTTT